CACACACAATTTGGAATATATTATACATTAAAAATGACATATATTTATACATTTATACATATTTAAATAGTTGGGAGATTTTATTTATTTATTTATTTTTGTGTTTTTTTTTTTTTTTTCACATCTTTATTGTTGGATGTAAAATGTATTACAGATGTTCCACATTTTTCCCCCATTAACCCCCTCCTCCCCCCTCCCGCCCCCCTCCCACCTTTTCCCAAGCTATTGTCCGTGTCCATTGGTTATGCATATAAGTTCTTTGGTTTATCTCTTCCCACCCCCCCAACCCCTTTCCCTTTGAGGTTTGTCAGTCTAGCAATGAATTTGTGCTTCTTAATCCCTTCACCTTTTTCACCCTTTCCCACAACCCCCTTCCCAACTGGCAACCAACAAAATGTTCTCTGTATCTATGAGAATGTTCCTGTTCTTCCTGTTCATTTTGTTTGTAGATTCCATTGTTGAGAGATATGTATTCATTGCCATTTTGTTTGTTCATACATTTTATCTTTTTCTTTAAAAAGACCCTTCATCATTTCATATAATAACGGTTTGGTAGTGATGAACTCCTTTAACTTTTTCTTGTCTGGGAAAGTTTTTATATGTCCATCGATTCTAAATGACAGCTTTGCAGGATAGAGTAATTTTGGTTGTAGGTTCTTGGTTTTCATCACTCTGAATATTTCTTGCCACTCCCTTCTGGCCTGCAAAGTTTCTTTTGAGAAATCAGCTGACAGCCTAATGGGAACTCCCTTGTAGGTAACTAGCTGCCTTTCTCTTGCTGCTTTTAAGATTCTCTCTTTGTCTTGAACCTTTTGCATTTTGATGATGATGTGTCTTGGTGTGTGCCTCTTGGGGTTCATCTTGTTTGGGACTCTCTGAGCTTCCTGGACTTGTATGTCTGTTTCCTTCACCAAGTTAGGAAAGTTTTCTGCCATTATTGTTTCAAACAGGTTTTCGATTTCTTGTTCTCTCTCTTCTCCTTCCGGCACCCCCAAGATGCGAATGTTGGCACGCTTGAAGTTGTCCCAGAGGCTCCTTACACTATCCTCATTTTTTTGGATTCTTTTTTCTTTTTGCTGTTCTGATTGGGCGTTTTTTGCTTCCTTATATTCCAAATCGATGGTTTGCTCCTTGGATTTACGTACTCTATTATTGAAGCTATGTAAATTATTCTTTATTTCAGTTAAAGCCTCCTTCGTTTCTAACTGTGCAGCGATCATTTCTGACTGGTCCTTTTTTATGCTCTTGAGGCCCTCACTGAGTTCATTGAGCATCCTTATAAGCAGTATTTTGAACTCAGCATCTGTTAGGTTGCTTATCTCCATTTCGCTTAGTTCTTTTCTTGGGGTTTTGTTCTGTTCTTTCATTTGGGACCTGTTTCTTTGTATCCTCATTTTGGCTGCCTCCCTGTGTTTGTTTCTGTGTATTACTTAATGAGAGGTATAGGGCTCGCTGAGACCCGATGCTGCTCGTTTGAAAGAATTTAGGAAAAACCTGAAGCAGGATCCAAGACAGGCCAATCCTATGGTTAAGCAAGTGGCAACAGCTTGGGTGGGCCTAAAAGTTGGGTGGGGCGGGGCGGCGCCTCAGGGAGTCACCAGGGCGGGGCTACCAGTGTGAGCCAGATTGCTGGAGTCCCAGGTATGGCGACTGTCTGCCGCCCCAGGGAAGGGCTCACCAAAGGAACAAAGGCCTCTTACAGCACGTTTGTCCCCAGGAAGCCCCCTCTCCAGCCCTCGCTCCAGTGCCAAACAGCTCAGTTCTTCCCTGTATGTCTCTGGAGCCCCTTGAGCTGCCTTTCCTCCAAGCTTAGAGGGAGAGAGTCCGACCAGTCCGTGCGCGGGCCCTTTAGGGAGCTGCCTGTGGCTCCAGCCAGGTCAGCTTCCCTGAGCCTCAGTTTCCGCTGGTTTTTCCAGCCAGAAGTTATGGGGACTTCTCTTCCTGGCACTGGAAACCTGAGCGGGGCACCTGGTGTGGGACGGGGACCCCTCAGTCCTCAGGGAGGACCTTCCTAGCCATGGGAGCCTCCTGATTTTTATCTGCCACACTTGGGTGTGGGACCAACCTGTTGAGCCGCTGTGCCGCCGCCGCCGCCCCTCCTACAGGTCTGGATGTAGCTGCTTTTTTTTTTTTTAATTCCGTAGTTGTAGCACTTCCATTCAGCTTGATTTCAGGCGGTTTTAGATGATGGTTGTTCTGTACTTTTGTTATAATTTGGATGTGGTTGTGGGAGAACGCGATACTGCGTTTCCCTACGCCGCCATCTTGACCGGAAGTCAATAGTTGGGAGATTTTATACATATATATTACTTGGGAATATAAATTCTCAAATTATTTAAGGCTGGTCTTTTTCCCTCCAAGAGTTTATAATTTAGTAGAGGAAAAAAGAATATTAAAATTATAGATGCCATAAGAAAGTGTAGTCAATACTTGCTTTTTTTTTTTTTTTTTAATACCTGTGGTAGAATAATGCTTTCTCAAAGACACCCATGTCCCAATATCTTGAACCTGTGAATATGGTACCTTCTATACAAAGTATCTTTGCAGATATGATCAAGTTATGAATTTTAAGATGAGAATAGTATCCTGATTATCTAGGTGAGGTCAGTGTAATCAAGAGATAGGCAGAGGATCAGAGTCTGAGCAAGAGCTGTGAGGATGGAAGCAGAGGCTGGAGTAGTGCCATTGCTAGAATGGGCCATGAGACAAGGAATGTGGGCAGCCTCTAGGTTTTGGAAATAGGTAAGGAATGAATTTTCCATAGAGCCTCTAGAAAGAGTGCAGTCTTGCCAACACCGTAAGGCTAAGACCATTCTTGGACTTCTGTATTCTAGAACTGTAAGATGATAAATGTGTTTTGTTTCAGGCCACTAAATTTATAGTAATTGTTACAACAGCCATAGGAAACTAATACATAGTTCTTCCATTTTGGGCAGCCCATGCCCCATACCCCAGTGTGTCTGGGTGGGGAGGCAGAGCCAGGCATTCTGTTCCCTATCATTGGCCAATTGCCAATTATACCTTCTTCTTTGGGTTATGGAATCTTGAGGGACTGAGGTAGACACAGAATTAGAAATTACTCATGGAGGTGGTGGCAGCAGTATCCAGACAGTTCCTGTGATATGACCTTGCCTATGTTCCCTGGTGTCTGCACCCCTTGGTTTCTACCTAATATATATGCCTGGGTTGCTGCTTTTTCTATTGATTCTGTTAGCTTATCCTACATTCTACCAATCTACATTCTCCGATTTCTGTTGTTTATAACAAAGAGATTTGACTAACTCAGAGAGTCATATTTCAGTACTCCTAGTAAATTCATCTTTGTTTTTTCCTTTATTGATTTTAGCAAGAAAGGAAGGAAGACGTAGAAAGAGATGAAAACATGGATGAGAGAGAACATCAATCAATTGGCCACCTCCCACATGCCCCCCCCACACTGGGGATTTGGCCGACAGCTTGGGCTTGTGCCCTGACTGAGAATCAAACCAGCAACCTTTTGGTGCATGGGTTCAAGCTCAACCACGGAGCCACTTTGGGAAGATGATTCATTTTTGTATCTACAGCTTCTGTATTGAGTATCTTGAACTCAATATATACTTTTTAAATAAGAGGAGCAGATAGCTACAATGTAATGCTACTTGATAGAAAGGGCAATTGCAGGAATAGGCTTCAAGTGTATATGAAAGAGCATTAAATGGAGACTTTTAAGTTGGATTCAAGTTCTGTTGACCAAATGAGGAAGGGACAGTCAAAGCAGTAAATGGTAGGTAGTTCACTTTCTGATATTTGGCCACCTTTTTACACATTATTTATTTATTTACAAACATTCAGGTTAAGATATTACCAATATAATACTTATTTAAAGAAGTTAACCTTGCCTGGCAGGTGTGGCTCAGTGGATTGAGCATCCTCATATGGGCTGAGAGGTCCCATTTCCATTTCTAGTCAGGACACATTGGGTTCGATCCCCAATGGGGGGCATGCAGGAGGCAGCCAATGAATGTTTCTATCTCTCTCTCCCTTCCTTGCTCTCTAAAAAAAAAAAAAAAAAAAGTCAATCTTAAGCAGAGGATTCTATCCATCAGACACATATAGTCCAGGGCTTAGCAGAACATGCTATGTGGGGCAAGGTTGCTATCATCCACAGCTTTTGCTGACATAGAGGAAGGCCAGGTATGTAACTTTTCTTTAAAAAAAAATTTTTTTTCCCCCTTCATTGATTTTTTAGAGAGGGAGAGAGAGAGGAACATCAGTGAGGGAGAACATAGTTGGCTGCCTCTTGCATGACCCACTGGGATCAGGCCCACATCCTGGCCACATGCCTTGACCTGGAATCAAACTGGCAATAGGTCCATGCTCAACCACTGAGCCACACCAGCAGGGCTGTAAATTTTCTTTTATGCTTCCTTTTATTACTAGCATCATTCGACATCCTTACTTTGCCCCTTATGTCTTAAATTCAGATCCCCAGGTCCCCCAATGACGCCAGATGTTAGCTGTACCAAAAGAGGAGTGTGTCGTAAACAAATTTGGTCATGTTTCTTTTTGCCACAAAAATACTTAAATGGAGGGCTAGCCATTCTCATTCATTAGTAGACAGGTGGATTTGAGCGGTGGGGGAAGTAGTCTCTCAGCTCTACTACTGGCTACATTAACAACAAAAATGCGCGACTGTATTGACCCACCATTTCGAAAATAGGCGAAAAGACTTTCAAAAAATACAGCCGCAAAAATTTCAGGTTCCTACCCACCTGCGGCCAGACTGGGCGGGGCCAGGCCCACGTGGCGGTGGGCGCGGGGCGGTGGCTTGTAAGTGCGCAGGCGCCCACCTGTAGTGGCGCAGGGGTAGCGAGTCCCCGCTCCGCGCCGGGGTCTCTCACGCCGACGCCTCTCCCGGCTTCCTTCCCACCTCGCTGGTCTCTCCGCCCTCCAGGCCCCGCCTCGAAGCTCAGCTCCTCCCTTCCTCTAGCTCTGCGGGCGAACTGCGTGTTGCTGCGTCATCGCCAGTGGCCGGTTTGAATGAGGTCCTCGTCGCACCCGAGCTGCCGCCAACATCGCGCCTCCATCTCGGCTGCTGCTACAGCTTCTTCGCGTCCCTTTCCCTGCGCTGCCCTTGCCAGGCCCAGCCTTCCTGCGCCGCCGCCTTGCCTCTCGCCCCGCCATGCCGCTCTACTCCGGTGAGCTCCCTCCTCGCCTCGCGTCCCGCAGTCCTCCCCAGCGCAGGCCTCTGAGTAGGCCTGGCCTGCAGGGCGGGCGCTGAGCCGAGCACGGGCGGGGGAGGGGACGGGGAGGCGTGGGCGAGGGTGTCTGCGGCGTGCAGTTGAGCCTGGCCCCCTTCTCCTTGCCTGTCCGAGCCCTGCAACGCGGAGGAGCGCCCTCTCCAGGGCCGCCTGGTGGGTGGGGTGGGAGCGGGAGTGGAGATGGGAAGCCGCGAGCGTCGGCCTCTGGGAGTGGTGACTCTGCAGAATAGTTTCTGGCGCTGTCCTGGTGTGCAGGGGAAGGTGGGGTGTGTCCTGGGGCACCCGGATCAGGTGGGAGGTGTAGTGGGATTTCCTCGTGTTCATCAGTGGTAGCTGTGGAAGGAGCGGCAAGGAGGGACTCCTGAAGTAAGGGAAGGATGGAGGGACCCGAGATGTAAGATTAGCTTTCGTCATTCATGGAGTTTCCCTCAGTAGCTTCTCTTCGTTTACTTCTTGCTGCCTTTGCTCCACCCCCCCTTTTGTACCAATGTCTGTTCTATCCCAAGGCAAATTGCAACGTATTTTTTTTTACTTCTTTTTTATTTCACTAAACATTGTATTAACTTTCTGTGTCCAAAGCTTAGTGTTAGGTTTGTGAGGAAGATGAATACAGTGTCCGCGGGCATCATTTCCTTTTGATTGGCGTTTGACAGGTTTTTGCCTGATGGTAGTCTAAGGGATTGGCCGGCCATCACATTTTTCATTGATGAACCTTCCTGTTTCCTAGTCCGATCCAAAATGGCACCTAAGATTATGTGGTGGCTTCACTTGGCTATGGGTATGCGATTCTTTGGCCATACTTGACTATCATAATTCCTTTATTGAAGGTTGAACATTTTCTTTCTTTTTTTTTTTTTTTATCCTCACCCGAGGACATTTTTCCATTTTTTGTACAGACAGAGTGGGAGGGAGAGAGAGGAAGAGAGAGAGAGAGAGAAACATCGATGTGAAAGGGACACATCGAGTGGCTGCCACCCGCACGACCAACCAGGGCCGGGGACAAACTGCAACCAAGGTGCATGCCCTTAGCGGGAACCGAACCCGGGTCTCTCCGGACTGCAGGCGGGCGCTCTAACCGCTGAGCCAAACCGGCCAGGGCAGGTTGAACATTTTCAAAGAATGATATGAAACAAACGTGAAGTTTAATCTTGAGATGGATTCTTGATGTTCTAGAATCTTGAATGCTTTAATAATGATTGCTCAACCTTTCTGTAATTATTAGCAGTACAGTAATTACACAATAACAGTAGAATGATACTTGAAATATTCCATTTCTGCAATGTAGAGTTAAGGGAGCACTAATTAACTAATGGCAATAAATCCTACTGTAGGCTAATACTTAAACACCGAGGTCTAAAACACTGTGTGTCTAATATTTAGACACACAGACAACAAAACCAACCACTCTCTTTTGTTCCCCTTAAAATACCAGTATTCACCAAACTCGTGTATCTCAAAAATTGAGTTTCTTTAATATTTAATCAAACGCTTCCTTATTTTCAAAATGGGGGAATTGAAGTAGATTTCTTCTTTTGATATCTCTATTGAGAATCAGTATTTTCAGGTTCTACAAAAAGCCCTATATTAAAATGAGAACATTTAAAGTACTGTTTTATAAGTTTTGGTAGAAAATTAAATATCCAGATTCTTATGTGGTTAAGGTAAGGGCCATAAAATTTAATGACCACTTGTGTGTCTGGCATAAAGCTAGTGTTTTTTTGTTGCTATTAAATGTGTTTTTGATTTTTTTTTAGAGTGAGAGAGAAACATTGATGTGAGAGAGAAACATCCGTTGGCTGCCTCCTGCATGCCCCTGCTGGGGACTAAGTCCCAAACCTGGGCATGTGCCCTGACTAGGAATCCAAAGGGAGACCTCTTGGTGCATGGGTTGATGCACAAGCCACTGAACCACACCAGCTGGGCTCTTTTCTTTTTTATTTATTTATTTTTTATTTTTATCCTCACTTGAGGACATTTTTGCATTTATCTTCAGATAGAGTGGGAGGGAGCGAGGGAGGAAGAGAGAGGGAGAGAAACATCGATGTGAGAGAGACACATCGAGTGGTTGCCACCCACATGACCCCAACAGGGGCCGGGGACAAACTGCAGCCGAGGTATGAGGTACGCGCCCTTAGCGGGAACCAAACCTGGATCTCTCTGGTCTGCGGGCTGACACTAACTGCTGAGCCAAACTTGCCAGGGTTCTTTTCTTTTTTCAAGTAGCCATTTGAGCCCTGGCCAGTTTGACTCAGCAGTTAGAGCATTGGCCTGCGGACCAGAGAGTCCTAGGTTTGGTTCCCGCTAAGGGCACGTACCTCGGTTGCAGTTTGTTTCTGGCTCAGGTTGGGGTTGTGTGGGTGGTGCCCAGTGGATGTTTCTCTCTCACCCTCTTCTTCCCCCTTTCCCTCCTTCACTATCTGAAAATAAATGCAAAAATGTCCTCGGGTGAGGATTAAAAAAAAAAATGCAAATAGCCATTTGAATGTCTGTGAAGTAGGATTTCAATATTTTTTAGTGATTTAGATATATGTTTGAATTTTTACTATTTGACCATCCTGTGCTAAGGAACTACACTTTTCAATTCTTACGTCAGCAGTTTTTTGTTTTTTTCTGCCTCAGATTTATTCGCACAGATAGCACAGGAGGACACCAGTTCCATGTAGACGCAGCCTAGGGGTCAAATCAGTCCTTCTGTCCTCACGTCGCCAGACAGAAGCCTCTATTGTGGAGCATTTGTGATAGTCTGGGCACCTTTGGGAGCAGGAGCCTGAGCTGCAGCTGCTCGAAGCCTGGGGCTTGGTCTGAGCCCTGGCCTTGGACTTTGGCCAGCAGAGCCTGAAGCCCTTGGCGATGTGGGCACGAGCATGTTTCCCAAGCTTGGGGTGAGCAATATAGGCAAGTCAACTGAGCTTTCGGCTGCCGCCCTTCGGGATCTTGGGCTTGACCTCCTTGGGCTTTACAAGGGCCTTAATAGACTCAGCACGTGTGCTCATGGCCTTGGCATTGTTGGCCTGCATCTTCTTCAGGCCCTTGTTGTGCTTCTCAGCAAAGTGCATGTTCCTTAGGAACTTGGGGTCTACCATTTTAAGAGATTCGTATCTCTGTGATCGGGGTTTCTTTTTCTTTTTTTATGTATGTGCCCCTAGTGGGAACTGAACCTGGGACTCTGGTCCACAGGCTGATGCTCCAACCGCTGAGCCAAACCGGCCAGGGCATGATCGGGGTTTCTTGATGCCGTTTCTGTGCCATTTTCGGGACTGGTTGTGCGTGGTGTGGTTCTTGGACTTGGCCATCTCTCCACCAAAGCCCGTGGCTCCCAAAGCTCCTGGGACTGGAAGAGAAAGAGCTACACTTTTCAATTCTTAGAATGCAGAATTTTCCTTGTTTTAAATATACTTTTTTCTCCCAATTTTTTTTCCTTTCCATTTACCTTTCAAAAACCTTTCTTTCTCCTCTCTATTCCAACAATACGTAGATTTTGTTCACTGCTAAACTAAATACATTAATACATTTTGAAGTCTGTGAACCTTATTCTGGGAAATATTTCAGTGTGATCATATTTTGCAGAGATTATTGATGTAGGATTCAGAAGACTTGAGTATTTACTAACAAGTGTTTTTTTACCTTAGGAAATCAACCGGCTTCTCTTACTGCTGGTTCCCTTATTTATCAAATGAGAAGTTGGATTAGATCCAGTTAAATATCCAGTTAAAAATTAGTATAGGCATTATGAATATAAAAAGATGAATGACATAGTTTGGCTTTCAAGAACTAGCCTTCTAAATCCTAAGTCTTTCTATTTTGTAAATGAAAAAAAATAAATTATGGTTTGTTTGCAGTTACTGTGAAGTGGGGAAAGGAGAAATTTGAAGGTGTAGAATTGAATACTGATGAACCTCCAATGGTGTTCAAGGCTCAGCTTTTTGCACTGACTGGAGTCCAGCCAGCCAGACAGAAAGTTATGGTGAAAGGAGGAACATTGAAGGTAAAACTTAGTCCATACTTTCATTATATACTATTATTATATAGTTAGTGAAATGTAGCATTTGAGTTTTTTTGTTTTAATTTGTGAGAGTATATAGTTATGGGATTACAACTGTTTTATTCATGTCAGTGTAAGAAGGAACATTCTAGCCATTTCAAACATTATATTATAAAAGCATAATTAAATTTTTTATTTTCAAATGCACTTTTAATTAATGCCTCTGTAGATCAGAGCAGTGGAGCACTTCCATTTATTTGTATTGTTTGAATATATTTTCCTAGGAGGGTGTGTTAAATGTATTCCTTTATTTTTAGACTATTATAAAATCTATTTGTATTTTCTTAGTGATTTTCTGTTATGGGGTGGAAATTTTTATTTCTGTTAAAAATATGGAACAGTATGGTAGATTTTTTTTTTTTTTTTTTAGTAAAAAGACTACTACAAAATGTATTTTTTACATGCATTTGAATGTGGATATTAAAAAATATTTCAACATCTTTACCAAAGCCCCAGTTCTGAAATACTGGAAAACTGTTAATATTTTCTTGTGGTCTTTCTTGCATCCCACCCATTGAAAAAGAGCTTCTTTCTCTATTTACTTTCTTTATTGATTTTAGACAGAGATGAAGGGAGAGGGAGAGAGAGATGGAAACATCAATGAGAGAGAACATAGATTGGCTGCCTCTTGCATGCCCCCCACTGGGGATCAGGCCTACAACCTGGGCATGTGCCCTCACCAGGAATCGAACCAGTGACCTCTTGGTGCATGGGTCGACGCTTAATCACTGAGCCATACAATCTGGGCAGGCTTCTTTCTCTTTTTTTTTTTTTTTTTTTTTTTAATCCTCACCCGAGGACATTTTTCCATTTTTTGTACAGACAGAGTGGGAGGGAGAGAGAGGAAGAGAGAGAGAGAGAAACATCGATGTGAAAGGGACACATCGAGTGGCTGCCACCCGCACAACCAACCAGGGCCGGGGACAAATTGCAACCGAAGTACGTGCCCTTAGCGGGAACCGAACCCGGGTCTCTCCGGACCGCAGGCGGATGCTCTAACCGCTGAGCCAAACCGGCCAGGGCAAGCTTCTTTCTCTTAAGAGTAATTGCTATCTAACATCTATCAGGAGATGGAAGAAAAAAAAACTTCTTTTTTTTTGTTTATAAAAAGAGGAAACTTAATTTTTCCAAGTTCCTTTGGAATGATCATATTGACTACAGTTAAGAGTTCAAGCTTACTAGCATCATTGATAAAAGGCCACAAAAAAAGATGCAAAGTTATTTTCTTCATTGTTATTTGTAATACTGTATAGATATAGTTTTAATTTTTTTTCTTTATTGATTTTAGAGAAAGAGGAAAGGAGAGGGAGAGAGAAATAATAAACATCAATGAGAGAGAACATCAGTTGGCCGCCTCCTGAATGCCTCTGCTGGTGATTGGGCCTACAACGCTGGGCATGTGCCCTAACCGAGAATTGAACTGGTGACCTCTTGGTGCATGGGTCGACACTCAACCAGTGAGCCACATCGGCTATATAAGTATAGTTATAATAAAATACTTTCTTAAGAAAGTAGATATGAAATGCTAAAAAGCTATATAGTTAATTTTAGAGATAAGGGCTGGCCACCCTTGTCAGCTGGGCAGTAAAACAGATGTTGGTGAAGAAACATTATTTCCCCTCCACCTTGCAGTATGAACTTTTGGTCACTGATAACCTAATTTCTGCTGAGCTGAGTACAAGCATACCTCAGAGATATTGCAGGTTTGGTTCCAAGACACTGCAATAAAGCGAATATCACAGTAAAGCATGTCACAGATATTTTGGTTTCCTAGTGTATGTGAAAGTTATGTTCATACTGTACTGTAGTCTATTAAGTGTGCAATAGCATTATGTCTAAAAAAGCAAAGTACATACCTTAATTAAAAAAAACTTTATTGCTAGATAATGATAATCACTTTCTGAGATTCAAGGTTTTTGCTGGAGGGTCTTGTAAAAGAAATACAATATCTACAAAGCACAGTAAAGCAAAGCACATTAAAACAAGGTATGCCTGAACTGGTGATGTACTGTAGAGAATTATAGAAAAATGCTAATTAAATGAAACTGATGGCTAATAGCTACCACTTATTGAATACTTGCTTTGTGCCAGGCTTTTCTTTTTTTTTTAATCCTTACCTGAGGATATATAGTTTTTTATTTTCAAATAGAGTGAGAGGGAGGGAGGAAGAGAGAGAGAGAACGAGAGAAAAAGAAACATTGCTGTGAGAGAGACACATTGACTGGTTGCCTCCCTCATGACCCCGACCAGGGCTGGAGACAGAACTGCAACCAAGGTATGTGCCCTTGGCTGGAATTGAACCCACGACTCTCTGGTCCAAGGGCTGACAAACTGTTGCGCCAAACCGGACAGGACAATGCCCGGATTTTCTTTTATTTATTTTTTAAAAATTCTCAACTGTATATATTTTAAAGATGATTAAAGTAAATGTATTTTATATATTTTGTAAATGAGGAAACAACATGAGAGCTTTAAGTAAGATACAGTAAGATACCAGAAGAACATGTGATTTACAAGGCAAGTAGATCTGGGTTAATTCGTGACACCACCAAAGGGAAGCAGATTGAGTGCTTGGCACCTTCCGAAAAAACAAAAGGAGTAATATAGAACTGACTTTATTCTGTGAAGGGAAGGGCATAGCTTCAGTAGGCCAATATATCTGTGAACTAATCATAGCATTAAGAAACAAATCTTGATTGAACATGTTGAAGTAAAAATATTGATTAATTGTTTCATAGATGTGAAATTTAGTACTTGGGAAACACTGGACAGGGCAAGTATTATTAAGGGTTAGTTTGCATCGGGTAGTTCTGTTCACTCTTCTGGTATTATTTTTGTTGTTAATCCTCATCTGAGGATATTTTCCCATTGATTTTTATATAGAGTGGAAGGGAGGGGAGGGGAAGAGAGAGAGAGAGAAAGAAACATTGATGTGAGAGAGACATAGCAATTGGTTGCCTCCCAAATGACTCTGACTGGGGCTGGGGATTGAACCTGCAATCCAGGTATGTGCCCTTGACTGGGAATAGAACCGATGATCCTTCAGTCCACAGGCTGACACTAACCACTGAGCCACACCAGCCAGGGCTCTCCTGGTATAATTTTTAATAATACTTTCTCAAGTCTTTTGATTTGGAAGATAAGTTCTATTATTATCCTAATTAGACATTATTTAATGTTACTCTACATTCTTATCATCTAAGGTAGTATTAGCTCTGTTGGTTAAAAACATGCAAAAATTAGCATCTTTCATTTGTCATTAATCAGGTGTTTTTTAGTACTTTTGGTGCTGCCAAGTTTATTGTCTTTTAGATTGTGTCTTATGTAGTTTAAGCAATTGATAGATTTATTATTGTTAGGACTGCATGTCATTTTTAAAAATACTTTGATTACACTAATTTTTTAAAATAGATTTTTATTGTTTTTCTTTTGTTTGTTTTTTTTTTTTTTAAGAGAGAGGAGGGAAGATATAGAAACATCAATGTGAGACAGAAACATCAATTGGCTGCCCCCCTGCACGCCCCCTACTGAGGATTGGGTCTGCAACCCTGGCATGTGCCCTGACTGGGAATTGAACCAGGACCTCTCAGTCCATGGGACGATGCTCAGTACACTTAACCACACTGCCCAGGCTGATTACAGTAATTTAAATAAAATCTGACCATAAAATTCTATTTTGAAGTCGCTTAAAATTAGTTGATTATTAGATTATGTTCAGATTGTACAGGGGTGATTAAATGTTTTTTAATTTGTCTTTAAAACAGGATGATGATTGGGGGAACATCAAAATAAAAAATGTAAGTATTATACTAAAAACTCTATTATAATGCAGTTTCCTAATTATCATATCAAAATATAGTTCAAATGCCTTTTTTTCCATGTGTATATTGAGTTGTTCCAGCAGCATCTGTTGAAAATACTTTCCTTTTCCTATTGACTTGTGTTGGAGACTTTCTTGAAAATCAGCTGTAGGTCTCTTTTTAGACTCTTGTTTTACTGATATATTTGATAAACTTACATCACTACCACATGGTCTTGGTTACTAAAGCTTTATGGTCTGTAAATAAGATAGTGTAAGTTCTCCCAACTGTTTCTTCTTTGAGACTATTTTAGCTCCTTTGCATTTCTGTATAATTTTAGAGAAGTCTGTCAATTTCTACAAATGGACTCCTGGAATTTTGTGTGAGGTTGCATTGAATTTGTAGTTCATTTTGGGAAGAATGAACATCATAATGGTATTAAGTATTAACATTCTTAAATATGGCATACTATTCCATTTGTTTAGGTCTTTATATTTTTAGCAGTTTTGTAGTTTATCATTTTAGCATAGAGGTTTTGCATGGTTTTTGTTAGATTCATAGAAGTTAATGTTTCTTAGCTGTTGAAAAATGATACTTAAAATTTGTTTTCTAATGTTCATGGCTAGATGATAAAAATACAGTATATTTTCATCCTATGATTTTACTAATATAAGATCACTTACTAGTTCTAGTAGTTTTTTTAGATTCCATTGGATTTTTCTGTGTACATAGCATGTTATCTACAAATAGAGGCAGCTTTACTTCTTTCTCCCTTTCCAGTCTTTATGACTGCTATTTCTTTTTATTGACTTACTTCACTGGCATATACAAGTATAATTAATTATATACTGACCAAGTATCCTATGACTTTGCTGATTTTATTAGTGTCTTAGATATGTAGGTATTAGGATAATGTAGGTATACAATTATGTCATCAGCACTGAAGAAGGTTTTATTTTATCTAATTCTATACTTCTTATTTCTCTTTTTTTTCTTGCTTTCTTGCACTGGTGATTAGGATTTTAGCACAGTATTGAGTAGAAATGGTTGATAGTGGACATCATTGCTTTTTTCTGATCTTAGGAGGAAAGTTTCCAGTCTTAGAAGATTTTTTTTACAGATATTCATCATAGGTTGAGGAAATTTGTTTCTCCTAGTTTGCTGACAGTTTTTAACATGAATTGCTAAAATTCATGGGAGTTGAATTGTGTTCAATACTTTTTCTATATCTATTGAAATGACCTTTTTTAAAAATCCTCACCTAAGGATATTTTTCTATTTATCTTCAGCTAGAGTGGGAGGGAGAGGGAGAGAGGGAGAGAGAGAACAACATTGATGTGAGAGGGACACATCCGGTTGCCTCTAGCACGACCCCAACCAGGGCCAGGGACGAACCACAACTGAGGTACGTGCCCTTGACTGGAATTGAACCCGTGACTCTTTGGTCCGCAGGCCAACAATCTAACTGTTGAGCATACCTGCCGGGGCAAAATGATTATTTAAAAAAAGTGTTTTTATTGATTTTTTTAGACAGGAAGGGAGAGAGATAGGTACATCAATGTGGGAGAGAAACATCAATCGGCTGCCTTCTGCATGACCCCTACTGGGGATTGAGCCTGCAACCTGGGCATGTGCCCTGACTGAGAATTGAACGGGGACCTCTCAGTCCATGGGATGATGCTCAATCCACTGAGCCACTCTGGCTGGGCAGAAATGATCATTTATTTTTTTATTCTTTAATCTATTAATGTGGTGAACTACACTGACCTTTTCTTTTTTAATCCTCACCCGAGGACATTCTTGCATTTATCTTTACATAGAGCGGAAGGGGCAGAGGAAGGGAGAGAGAGACAGAAACATCGATGTGAGAGAGACACATTGAGTGGCTGCCACCCACACAACCCCCAACCGGGGCCGGCGACAAACTGTAACCGAGGTACGTGCCCTTAGTGGGAACTGAACCCAGGACTCTGGTCTGCAGGTCGACCGATGCCCCAACCGCTGAGCCAAACCGGCCACGGCTACACTCTCATTTTTTGAATAGTAAACCAACTTTATATTCATGGGATATACCCCAGTTGGTCATTATGTATTTTTTTTTTAAGATTTTTTTTTCCTTTATCGATTTTAGAGAGAGAGGAAGGTAGAGGGAGAAAGAGATAGAAACATCAATGAGAGAGGACATTTATTGGCTGCCTTCTGCATGCCTCCCACTGGGGATTTGGCCTGCAACCTGGGCATGTGCCCTGACTGGGAATTGAACCGGTGACCTCTTGGTATATGGGTTGACGCTCAACCACTGAGCCACACTGGCTGGGCTGTATTTTCCTTATTATATTTTGTCAGATTCTAATTGGTAGTATTTTTTAAGGATTTTTATGTCTTTGCCTGAGAGATACTGGTTTGTGGTTATCTTGAATTGTCTTTGTCTAATTTTGCTATCAGTGTAATGCTGGCCTTATGAAATGAATTAGGAAGCATCTCTACCTCCCATTTTTTCTGGAAGAGTTTACATTGTTTTTTCTTTAAGTATTTTGTAGACTTTTCCAGTGAAGGCCTCCAGACTTGGAACTTTCTTTGTGGGAAGATTTTATTATTTTTTTTAATGTACATTTTTTTTTAATTCCTCATTCGATATTTTTCTATTTATCATCAGATCAAGTGGGAGGGAGGGAGAGAGAGAGAGACAGAAACATCAATACGATAGAGCCACATTGACTGGTTGCCTGTGACACGACCCCAACCAGGCTGGGGACGAACCACAGCTGAGATACGTGCCCTTGATCAGAATTGAACCTGTGACTCATTGGTCCACGGGCTGACACTCTAACCACTGAGCCAAAACCAGCCAGGGCAGAAAGACTTTAAATAAAGAATTCAGTGTCTTGCCCTGGCCTGTTTGGCTCAGCGGTTAGATTGTTGGCCTGCGGTCCAGAGAGACCCAGGTTCAGTTCTCGCTAAGGGCACGTACCTCCAATGCGGTTTGTCCTTGGCCCCACGTGGGGCCATGCGGGTGGCAGCCATTCGATGTGTCCCTTTCACATCAATGTCTCTCTCTCTCTCTCTCTCTCTTCCTCTCTCTCCCTCCCACTCTACCTGAACAAAAATGGAAAAATGTCCTCGGGAGAGGATAAAATAAGAAAAAAGGAATTCAGTGTCTTTAAATAAATGTAGGACTGTTCAGATACTGTATTTTCTTTTATACCAGTTTTTGTAATTTGCCTCTTTTAAGGAGTTGGTTCATTACATTTAAGTTGTTGAATTGATTAGCATAAATACTCTTTCTTTTTGTTAATCCTCACCTGAGGATATTTATTCCGTTGACTTTTTTTAGAGAGAGTGGAAGGTAGGGGAGCAGAGGGGAGACAAACATTGATGTGAGAGAGAAACATTGATGGGTTGCCTTCTGCGCACCCTGACCTGGGCTGGGAATCCAACCTGCAACCAAAGTACATGCCCTTGACTGGGAATTAAACCTTCAACCATTTGGTGTGCAGGCCAATGCACTAAACACTATGCAATACCACCCAGGGCTGGCATAATATACCCTTTTAAAAAATTATTGAAGCCATGGCCGTGTGGCTAAGAGGTTAGAGCATTGGCCCACGGACCAAAGAGTCACTAAATAAATGTAGATTTCTGGTCAGGGGCATGTACTTGGGTTGCAGGTTTGATCCCCAGTTGGGAGCATGCGGGAGGCAACCAGTTGATGTTTCTCTCTCTCTCTCTCTCTCTCTCTCTCTCTCTCTCTCTCTCTCTCTCCTTTCCTCCCTTCCACTCTATCTGAAAGTCAATGGAAAAATATTTTTGGATGAGGATTAACAACAACAACAAATTGGAAGTTTTTTTTATGTACAAAGAGAGCGTTCTGTGGTAAGGTAGATGTCTTGCATGATCCATTCATGGAAGTTCACTTAGTCCAACCTAGTGATGCCTGTATCCTTTGAGTATTGACAGAAACATTGGCGGCACATATTGAGGCTGTATTTCTGAATCAGATCGTGCAGGTTTGAGCAGATAACGGCAAGAACTAGAATCCTGGCTGAATTTTCTCATTTGGCTTCAGTAGAGTTGCTGGTGACCCATCTTGCTGTCTCTGAAGCAACAAGGAAAAAGGAAAGTTCATAATATACTCTTTAATTCTAGAATCTGTAGTGCTGTGTTCTCTCTTTTTCCACTGGTATTTGCAAATTGTGATTTCTGAGCTTTGTTAATTTCATTGAGTCCCACCCCCTAAGAATCAGCTTTGTTTGCATTATTTTATTGATTTCCCATCTTTGTTTTATTTCCTCCTTTTACTTTGGCGTTAATAGATACTTTTTCTAGTTTCTTAAAGCAGAAGCTTAATTAATTTTTAAAAGCTTTTTATGTTTAACTCTTTTGCACATTTTTCTATTGTGTGCTTGCCTTGCTGGTTTTTCTTTTTAGGTGTTTATATATAGTATATTTTCTAGTTTGTACTTTTTATAATCCTCACCCGGGGACATTTTTGCATTTATCTTTAGATAGAGTGGGAGGGAGAGCGGGAGGAAGAGAAAGAGAGAAACATTGATGTGAGAGAGACACATCGAGTTGCTGCCACCCACATGACCTCAACTGGGGCCGGAGACAAACTGCAACCCAAGTATGTACCCTTAGCGGAAACCGAACCCAGGACACTCTGGTCTGTGGGCCGATGCTTTAACCACTGAGCCAAACGCCCCCAGGGCCTTTTTGTTTTAAAATAAGTTCTTTTTAATTGATTTTTTAGATAGGAAGGGAGAGAGATATAGAAACATTGATGTGAGAGAGAAATATCATTTGGCACCCTCCTGCATATCCCCTACTGGGGATGGAGCCTGCAACCTGGGCATGTGCCCTGAGTGGGAATTGAACTGGGACCTCTTAGTTCATGGGATGATGCTCAATCCACTAAGCCCCACTGGCTGGGTGTATGATCTATTTTCTTAATAATTGTAAATGGTATTGCTGTGGTCTTTATTTTTTTATTATTTTTTTTTAATTCTCATCCGAGGACATTTTTTATTCAGACAGCGGGAGGGAGGGAGAAGGAGAGAGAGAGAAACTTTGACATGAAAGGGACACATCGAGTGGCCGCCACCCACAGGGCCGGGGACAAACTGCAACTGAAGTATATGCCCTTAGCGGGAACCGAACCTGGGTCTCTCTGGACCGCAGGCCGACGCTCTTAACCGCTGAGCCAAACCGGCCAGGGCTGTTCAGAAATTTAACTACTGTTATGGGAATGAATTTGCGACTTGAATTAAAGATTTTATAGTTTCCAACAAATACATGAAATTAAAAGATTTTATAAAGTTTGAAAAAGGAATTTCATTAAATTTGGATCATAATTTGGAATCATATCTTTACAATATTTTATCCAGTCCAGAAACCTGTCATGTCCTTCGGTTTATTTAGGCGTTTTTTTAATATCCCTAACTAGAACTTTATATTTTTTATTACGTATTTTTTGTTATGTTTTCTCTTAGATATTTGTTGGTATTCTTTTTCTATTGTATTTTCTGATTGGCTCTCGTTAATATATTAAGTTTTTTTGTTTTGTTTTGTTTATTGATTTTAGAGGGAGAGTAAGGGAGAGGAGAGAGAAAGAAACATTGATGAGAGAGAACATCAGTTGGCTGCCTCCTTCATGCCCCTCACTGGGGATTTGGCCCACAACCTGGGAGTGTGCCTGACCGGGAATTGAACTGGCAACCTCTCGGTGCATGGCCCAGTTCATCCACTGGGCCACACCAGCAGGGCACTAATATATTCTTTAAATAGTTGGATTTCCTGAGACAGTTGTCTTTGGAAAAAGGTGTGTGTGTGTATATATATATATTTTTTTTTAATCCTCACCCGAGGACATTTTATTGTTTTTTGTTCAGATAGAGTGGGGGGAGAGAGAGGAAGAGAGAGAGAGAAACATCGACGTGAAAGGGACACATCGAATGGTTGCCACCTGCACGACCCAGTCAGGGCCGGGGACAAACTGCAACCGAGGTACATGCCCTTAGTGGGAACTGAATCTGGGTCTCTCTGGACCACAGGCCGACGCTTTAACCGCTGAGCCAAACTGGCCAGGGTGGAAAAGGATTTTTTAGTGATTGCTTAGTACTACTTTATTATTATTTTATAAAAAGTTTAAGTAAAGCCCTGGCTGCGTAGCCAGTTGGTTAGAGCATCATCCTGAAGTGCCAAGGTTGTGAGTTTGATCCCTGGTCATGGCACATACAGGAATCAACCAATAAATACATAAATAAGTGGAACAACAAATTGATGTTTCTCTCTCTCCCCTTCCTCTCTAAAGTCATTCAATCAAAACAAATTTAAAGGAAAATTTTAAGTAAAAATAACAGCTAATAGAATGAGGGTTATTAGATTTCAACATAGGTTATCTTTAAGACTGTGAATTCATTGACCTTATTAATTTCCTTTTTGTTTTTTGGTTAATCTTTACCGGAGGATATTTTTCTTTATTTAAAATTTTTTTCTTATTTTTGTTACAGATGTTTCTCCTTTTTCCCCCATTGACACCCTCCTCCCGATCTTACCCCACCTCCAGCCCCCAGTATTGTTTATGATGACCATGGTTATGCATACATGCATATAAGTTCTGTGGTTTATCTCCCCCCCATCCCCCTCTTCTGTGGTTTGTCAGTCTGTACCCTACTTCTGTGTCTCTGGGTCTGTTTTGTTTACCAGCTTGTTTTGTTCATTATATGCCACAAATAAGTGAGATCATGTGATGTTTGTCTTTCACTTTCATTGGCTTGTTTCACTTAGGATAATACTCTCTAGATCCCTCCATGTCATCTCAAAGGATAAGAGATCTTTCTTTCTTACAACTGCATAGTACTCCACTGTGGATATGTACCACAGCTTTTTTATCCACTTATCTATTGATGGACACTTCCCATGATATTTTTCCATCGATACTTAGAGTAGGAGGGGGGCGGGGAGCGAGAAAGAAAAACAGCAATGTGAGACAGACACATTGATTGGTTGCCTTATTCATGGCACCGGAGATTGAACCTGCAACCCAGGTGTACATGTCCTTGACTGGGAATTCAAATTGAACCAGGGATAATTTCCTAATTTTAATCCTCATGTAAATATTTTTATTTTATCTTACTGTTTTTTTAAACCTCTACTCTGTTTTTTTTAAAAAACCTTTTTTCTGCCCTGGCCGGTTTGGCTCAGGGGTTAGAGTATCGGCCCGTGGACCAATAAGTTGTGGGTTTGATTCTGGTAAACAGCATGTACCTTCGTTGCGATTCATCCCGGCCCTGGTTGGGTCGTGCGGGAGGCAGCCACTCGATGTGTCCCTTTCACGTCAGTGTCTCTCTCTCTCTCTCCCCCCCTCTATTCCTCTCTCTCTACCACGCGATCTGAACAAAAATGAAAAAATGTCCTCGAGTGAGGATAAGAAATTTATTAATTAAAAACCTCCTTCTTCTTTTCTTTGTTTCATGTGTTAATGTCTTCCAATTAAGATAATGAGTAAGCCCTGGCCCACTTGGCTCAGCAGTTAGAGCGGCCTACGGTCTAGAGAGACCGGGGTTCAGTTCCCGCTAAGGGCACGTACCTCGGTTGCAGTTTGTCCCCGGCCCTGGTTGGCTCGTGCGGGTGGCAGCCACTCGATGTGTCCCTTTCACGTTTCTCTCTCTCTCTCTCTTTCTCTCTCCCTCCCACTCTATTTGAACAAAAAGTGGAAAAATGTTCTTGGGTGAAGATAAAAAAAAAATGTCCTCAGTTGAGGATTTAAAAAAAAAAATACTAAGTAAAATCTTGTTCACATTTCAGGATTATGAGATTTAGGGTGACAGTGTCTGCATTGGTCTTTTGTTCTATGTAATGTTACATATATATTGAATATAAGTATTCAATTCAATTATAAAATTTAGTATTTTGAACGTATGTGTTTGGTTTGATGTTTTTTTCCAGTAATATAGCTCTCAATCTTCTCAAAATATTTCTATTTAAATGTAAATAATTGTTATAGTTACATAATAGATATTCAGAAAGAATCTTAGTGCTTAGTTTATTTGTTGTGGGAAAAAATTATGCCATTAAATGTTAATGCTCATTTGAAGAATTTCCTTCTCTGCAGTATGTAAACATTCTCAACTTTGCTTATGACAGTATTTTTTCCTTTGACTTTATTGATTTATAATTTTTATACAGTAAAATTTACTTTTTTTTAGTGTATAGTTTGATGAATTTGGTTAATTTTGTGTAGTCATGTAACCACACCACAATCAAGATATCACAGTTCCACCATTCTAAAAAGTTCTCTTGTGTCTTTTTGCTGATAAGCTGGTTACCTTTGAAGCATACTAGTAAGTTTTTAAACAATTTAATGATTTTTAGTGTATTTACAGAGCTATGAAACCTTCTCCACAGTCTAATTTAAGAACATTTCCATTACCCTGAAAGGAATGCATGTCCATTTAAGGTCATTCCCTATTTCCACCTTCAGCCCTAACAACTCCTAATCTACTTTGTGTCTCTATAAATTTACCTTTTCTGGCGAATAGAAGCATGCAGTATGTGTTTTTCTATGTCTGGCTTCTTTCATTGAACATAAAAATGATCGACTTTTGCCCAGCCGGTGTGACTCAATGGTTGAGCATTGATTGACTTATGCACCAAGAAGTTGCCAGTTCGATTCCTAGTTAGGGCACATACCCAGGTTGTGGGCCCGAACCCCATTGGGGGGCATGCAGGAGATGGCCAATATGTGTTCGCTCTCATCTATGTTTCTCTCCCTCTCACTTCCTCTCTCTCTCAAATCAATAAAGAAAAAAAATTTTGTTTTAAATGATCAACTTTTGAGCCTTGTATGAGATTAATTTTTTTTTTTTTTAACAGGGATTAACTCTACTAATGATGGGGTCAGCAGATGCTCTTCCTGAGGAACCCTCAGCTAAAACTGTCTTCGTAGAAGATATGACAGAAGAGCAGTTAGCATCTGCTGTAAGAAACTACATTTTATATGACCACTACTTTTCAGAAGTGCAGTTACTAAGGTGCCTTTCAGAAGTAGCATATGAATATTTTGAAGATTTAATAGTTAATATCAAGATGCATGTTTATTATTTTGAAATTAACGAGTTTTATAATCGATAATACATTATAAAGTCAATTAATATCTGTAATAAATATAAGTCTGGTGGGTAGTCAGCACTATTTAAGTGTTTACTATTATTTTTATGAGGAAACAAGCTCAAAGAGGTTAAGTAGTTTAAATGCTGGGAATTTGAAATTTTAAAACCTTCCATGTTGAAAATACATACAAAGTATTGACTTATTTATTTTTTAGAGAGAGAGAGAAGAAGGGAGAGAGAGATAGAAACATCGATATGAGAGAGAAACATCAATCAGCTGCCTCCCAGGCATGTGCCCTGACTAGGAATTGAACTGGGACCTCTCAGTCTGGGATGATGCTCAATCTACTGAGCCACACTGGCTGGGCTATTCTTAATTTAAATGCATCGTTGGTTTAGAAACTGGGCAACATACACATGTCAAATGTTATTTTTATCACCCAGCATTTATATAGTAGCATTGCTTTTTTTTTTTTTTAAGGAAGTGTTCTACAAATACTGTGACACCCTGTTTTAATGATAAGCATGTAAAGAGGGCAGGATTGATGACTGTCCTTTTATTAATTTTGATAAAGGAATTAAAACAGAATGATTGTTAGTATGATGCAAGGAAAAATTTTTGTTGGGGAAATAAAACATGGACTTTAGGGTAAAGGTGGAATATAAATTGATATGAATTGGTAAATTATACTTGCTTTAAAGTATGAACTATAATGATTTACGCTATGTCATTTTATAAAAATAACTTCTTTTTCTTAACAGATGGAATTACCATGTGGATTGACAAACCTTGGTAATACTTGCTACATGAATGCTACAGTTCAGTGTATTCGTTCTGTGCCTGAACTCAAAGATGCCCTTAAAAGGTAAGACAAAAGAGAAATGTTTTAAGTCTTCTTTGGGTAATGGAGGGTCCCATTTGAGCGAGTAGTGTTGTTTTGTATATATATATTTAGCAGCTTTATTGAGATATAATTCACTTATTATTCATTCATTAACAGTGTTCAATTAAATAGTTTTTATTATATTCATAAGGCTGTGCCTTAATCACCACATCTAATTTCAGAATATTTTCTCCACCCCACCCCAAGCAAACCATACTTACTAGCAGTTACTTCTTATACTGTTCCCACCTGAAACTCTAGGCGATTATTAATCTACTTTTGGTCTTATAGATTTCCCTGTTCTAGACATTTCATATAAGTGGAATCATATAACATGTGGTCTTTTTGTGACTGGCTTCTTTTACTTAGCATATTATTTTTTTACATTCATTCATGTTATATAGCATGTATTAGTTTTTCATTCCTTTGTATGGCTGAATAATACTCAGTTGAATGGATATACCACATTTGTTTCATCCATTCATCACTTGATGGACATTGGGTTGTTTCCACTTTTTAGCTATTATGAATAATGCGGCTATGAACATCCAATCACAAGTTGTTGTGCAGATTTTTCATTTCTCTTGGTTATGAGTGTATTGCTTGGATACCTGGTAACTCTGTTAAACAACATTTTGAAAACAGCCAGACTCCAGACTGTTTTCCAAAGTGACTTCACCATTTACAACCCTACCAGCAATGTAAGAGAGTTCTAATTTTTCTCCCTCCATGCCAGTCTTGTTATGATTATGTTTTTGATTATAGCCGTCCTAAGGGTGCAATGATATCTCATTGTGGTTCTCATTTGAATTCACCTAATGACTAGTAACATTGAACATTTTTTCATGTGCTTATTGGCCATTTTTATGTATTCTCTGGAGCAATGTCTGATCAAATATTTGCTAAATACTTTTTCAAATAGATAAATTACAAATATTTTTTCTATTTTGTGAGTTGTTTTTTCACTCTTTTCATAGTATTGCTTATAGCACAAAAGTTTAAAAATATTTTTTGCCCTGGCTGGTTTTTCCCAGTGGTTAGAGCATTGGTCCTTGGACCAGAGAGTGGGTTTGATTCTAGTCAAAGGCACATACCTTGCTTGTGGTTCGGTCCCTGGCCCTGGTCAAAGTACTGCAGGAGGCGACCAATCAATGTGTCTCTCACATTGATGTCTCTCTCTCTCTCTCTCTCTCTCTCTCTCTCTCTCTCCCTCCCTCCCTCCCCTTTCCTCCCTCCCATTCTATCTGAAAATAAATGGGAAAAAATAACCTCCAGTGAGGGTTTTAAAAAAAGAAAAGAAAAAAAAATTAAATTTATTTGAGTCCTGCTGGTGTGGCTCAGTGGATTGAGCGTTGTTCCATGGACGGAGAAGTTATTGGGTAGATTCACGGTCAGGGCACTCAGTTTGAAGACTCTTGTTCTAAACTCTGGGTCATTTTTGGCCATTATTTCTTCAGATATTGCTACCCTTCTTTTTTTTTATCTAGCTTTGTCTTTTTTATTTTCAATTCTATATTTGTTTTTATTAATTATTTTTGTTACAGATGTTTCTCCTTTATCCCCCATAGATCCCCCGACCCCAGCATTGTTGTCTGTCCATTAGTCATACATATATGCATACAAGTTCCTTGGCTTATCCCCTCCCTCCCACCCACCCTTCCCCTCTGAGGTTTGTCAATCTGAACCCCACTTCTTTCTATGTCTCTGGGTCTATTTTATTCATTATATTTCACAAATAAGTGAAATCGTGTGGTATCTGTGTTTCTCTGATTGGCTTATTTCGCTTAGCATAATACTCTCCAGGTCCCTCCATGTCACCTCGAAGGATAAGAGATCTTTCTTATAGCTGCATAGAATTCCATTGTGTATATGTACCACAGCTTTTTTATCTACTCATCTCTTGATGGACACTTGGGCTGTTTACAGATCTTAGCAATTATAAATAGTTCTGCTATGATCATAGGGGTACATATATTCTTTCTGATTGGTGTCTCAGACTTCTTAGGATATATTCCTAGAAGTGGGATCACAGGGTCAAATGGCAGTTCAATTCTTAATTTTTTGAAGAAACACCGTATTGATTTCCATAATGGCCGCACCATTCTGCATTCCCACCAGCAGTGTACTAGAGTCCCCTTTTCTCCACAACCTTGCCAGCACTTGTTTGATGATTTGTTGATGGTGGCCATTCTGACAGGTGTGAGGTGAGACCTCATTGTTGTTTTTTAATTTGCGTCTCTCTGACAAATAGTGACGTTGAGCATTTTTTCATGTTTCTTGGCCATTTGTATGTCCTGTTAGGAGAGATGTCTCTAAGTCCTCTGCCCATTTTTTAATTGTATTCTTTGTCTCTCTTTTGTTGAGTTGTGTGATACTCTATATATTTTGAAAAGTAACCCCTTATTTGATCTATCATTGGCAGTTATGCTCTCCCATATAGTGGGTTCCCTTTCCATTTTTGTGGTGGTTTCTTTTGCTGTGCAGAAGATTTTTAGTTTGATGTAGTTCCATGTACTATTTTTTTCCCTTTGTTTCTCTTGCCTTAGGTGTGAAAATTCTGCTGCATGTGATATCTGAAATTTTGTTGCCTACATTTTCTTCTAGGATTTTATGGATTCATGAGTCACATTTAAGTCTTTTACCCATTTTGAGTTTGTTCTTGTGTATGATATAAGTTGGTGATCTAGATTTATTTTTTTTAATGTAGCTGTCCAGTTTTCCCAACACCAATTATTAAAGAGGCTATTTTTATTCCATTGCATTCTCTTGCTACCTTTGTCAAATATTAATTGAGCATAATGTCTTGGGCCCATTTCTGGGTTCTCTGTTCTGTTCCACTGGTCTATATACCTATTCTTGTGCCAGTACCAGGCTGTTTTGATTACAATGGCTTTGTAGTATTACCTGATATCCAGTATTGTGATCCCTCCTACTTACCTTCTCCTTCTTTTTCAAGATTGCTGTGGCTATTTGGGGTCTTTTTTGGTTCCATATATACTTTTGGAGTATTTGTTCTAGTTCTGTGAAATATGTCGTTGGTATTTTAATGAGGATTGCACTGAATCTGTAGATTGCTTTGGGTAGTATGGACATTTTAATGATGTTAATTCTTCCAATCCAAGAACATGGTATATGCTTCTACATTTTTATATCTTTATTTCTTATTTTTGTAGGGACTGGTTCTTTATTTTAAAAATATGATTATCAATTTTCAGTATCAAAACAATCGCACTATTGGTTTTCTTTCTCCCAGTTGGCCCCCAAAGAGACCACATCAAAGGAGAGTACATTTTAATCCAATAAGCTGCAGCATGCGCACCTACCAGACTTCACAGAAACCTCACCAAAAATGGGATATTGGGTAGGGAAGGAAACTTTTAAAGATCAGCACACTGCCAGCCCAGACTGTAGCGAACTTCACAGCCAGATGGGGTGGCCAGTGCACCCCAACCCCAAAGAAACAAAGTTTCAAAATAATACAACATTTAAAAAGTTTTGTACATAAACTAACCAAGATTTCTCCAGGACTAACTGATGCAAAGCACAATGAGATGGCACTTTTAGAGACAGCAGCTTCAGACCCAGAAAAGAGTCATGAGATGAGTTTCATATGGCTAAATCAGTGGCAAAAACATAATTTTCTTTGCTTCAAGGAGGCAGGAGACCAAATAACTGGTCACTTCAACATAAGGGGCACATGATCCATTCTGTGAACCATTGGGAAAAGGGTAGAGATGGACAGGATAAGGATTTGGTCTCAGACAGAGAAATATCACCATTTTAATTTGGTCACTTCTGATGAAGAAGAAAAAATTGCCCAAAGATACCTTAAAAGCTGAAACCTGAACATATTTGTTTTTTTTTTGGTGGGGGGTGGGAGGTAACTTCTAGAATCATCTTTGATTTGGCTGATACTCTGCACAAAGCAATGATTCCCCATAGTGGAGTCTTTTTCTGGGCTCTGTTTGGCTCTCAGTAAGGCACACCCATACTTCTTTTCCTCCTCTGTCAAGAGGACGATATGGATTAAGATGAAAAATTACCTCCTAAAAGAGAGAGAGGGATTAGACCACTTCTTAAGAACTATGGACTTGTTTGGAATGTTTTACAAATGGTTTGCCACATCAACGACAAAAAAGGTAATTACAAAATGTTTACATCAAACATGCTTTTAAAGACACTTGGCATTGTGCTCACATTCCCTTAAAAGTTGTTCCCAAAGTTGCTCAGCCTCTAGCCCAACCAGAATCTGAGGAGAGGCAGAGATAATTTGGTGAAAAAGACATGGGTGGGGGATGGGAGGCAGTGAAAGGGAAAGCAGCCTTCCAGTTTTACCAGTTTAAAGATCAGCCCTCAGTTTAAAGGTCAGCTTCAAGTAGGCTGGCCTCAGGCGGAGTCAGGGTCAGAGGGAGGAGCAATGGCAGGGCGGGATTAGGATGGCTCTACATCTTATTCAGGTCAAGCAGAGTCTGGTCCAGCATCCTTTGTGTACAGAAGTGTTCCTCTTTGGTGCATTTCAGTTTATCTTCCACATCATCAGTTGTCTTTTCCAGCTTGGCTACTGATCTCAGCAAACTCAGCATGGGTCTCTGCCTCCTTGAGTTTATCAGTAAGAATCTTTATCTCTTCCTCATATTTGCCTTCTTTTAGAGAGTACTTTTCTTCAGCAGCACTCAGACACTTCAGGTTCTGGTCCATCATCCATTTCTTGGCAACGGGACTCTGCCAGCTCAGCTCATTCCTCTCTGTGTTCCAAGTCTCCCTCGATAATCACCAATTTATGAGCCACCTCTTCATACTTCCTATCTGCCTCTTCTGCAATGTGCTCCTGCTTCTTTGAGTTGGATTTCCTGAAGTTCCATCTTTTCTTTCTCTTTTAAAGCTTGGTTTAATAACCTTCATACCTCTCTCGCTCTTATTGGCAGCTTTCTCAGCTTCCTCCAGCTTTTGCAGGGAAGTGGCTAGGCGCTTTTGAGCATAGT